AAATGGAATTGATAGAAACTGCAAAACACAGCTTTTACAGCATACCTCTAACATCCACCTTCTTGAAATCAGGTTCCGACGAAAGTTCCTTCGCTAGTAGAAACTTCTCGGCTTTTCTATAGTATAGAATATATATATTTATAAGGAAATATTTCAAGAACTATTCTTGAAAAACACTCAACTCTTGAATGTATCTCTCTATTGTAGAAGAAATTTTGTAAAATGACTTAGCAAAATTTTGTAAACTCTTTACACATATTTATACTAAACTTTTTAGTATGAAATAATCAATAATTAGTAATATTTAAATAAAATCAGATTTTATTTAAATATGATTTACTAACTATTGACTTTTATATAATAAACAATGTAGAGTGGTTCCCTAACCTCTCTTAACCACCATTTATTATATTCACAATTATTTTTAATCTTTAATCATATTAAAGATAAAATAATAAAACATTAAAATAATAAATCTTGAAATCATTTTTCAAGACTTTATTATTTTAATCATTTCTTCTAATTTCCTTATTTAATAATTATATTATTATTTGGATTTGAAATTTAAAATCCAATTTTAAATTTCAACTATTAATTAGTAATTCCATTAATTACTAAATTAATATCCAAAAATTCAATTAATCAATCCAATTGATTAATTTAATATATTCCATAAATTGACATCTAATCAAATTAGATTAGTCAATTAATTCTAACTCTTTAGAATTACTATTTGAATTTTACCTTCATTCAAAAATTGGTGTGACCTTTTAGGTTCACAATTAATACTAGTAGTGGGTTTACAACTCTTTGTAATTTGAGTTAATCTTTATTAACTCTTATTCATGAATTAACCCTTAAATTCATGAACCCACATATCATGGGAACACCTAGCAAGTAGCATGAATCTAGTATTAAGTGAATAGCGAGTAAACCTATTTCGATTACAATTACATACATGTAAAATCCTTTCGACATCTAATTTCCCGATTAAATCTTTGGGTATGATTTTGTCGAAACCCAAATTGATTTAATAACTATGATTCCATTTCCAGTTTAGTAATTCGATTATGAATCTCTATTCATCCCGCCTTGGCCAAGGACTTTGAATTACTAACTATGAAACACATACGAAATTCACTTATCTTCATAAGTGTCGAATCCTTTGTTGGCCACTAACAAACTTCCATACATATTAACACAATACCCAAAATATCCCTTTATACGATTGTGCTTGCAACCAAAAGGATAAATCAAAGTAGAATGTAATATGCACAAAGTTACCATTGTGCCTCAAGTCTAAGGATCAATCATGTACTATTGTAACATGAAAATACTTATTCGACAAGACAAATCTTTCATTAAGTATTTTCATACGGTCATGTTCAGTGAACTTGTTCTCTAACAAGCACCCACATATATGTACTTGCGTCACACGCTAATGTTGATGGAATGCAACATTCTTATCTGATAAGTATACATACTATGTGCAAGTCATTTCTGAATTATTCGATATCCCTATCTCGAAACATCCAACGACTTGGAACTGTATTTAAGATCACGGCTTTAAAGATATGTTCCATGATTACCATCTCTATACGCAACCATATCTTATAGCTATATGTGATCTAAGGACTTTATCTTAAGTGCAAATATAAGATAAATGCTTACTCTTAAAATAAAGTAATGCCATTTATTTAATATATTTCCAATAGACTGTATTTACAAGTAGAATACGTCCAATCAGATTGGAACGCCGGGTATACTACTCTAACACTTAATTCAACAGCCAACTTTATCCCACATTTTTCTTTTATGAATGTGTGGGTTTACACACTAAGCATAGACATTGACTGCAGTTCAATCCAATTTATAGTCGAAGAAAATTAAGATATATTCTAGATAGTTTTAAAAAAATTAAGATATATTCTAGATATATTCTATAACAGGGGCGGAGTTATGGGGGCTTTTCCACGGTATTCGTTTGACGTGGGAATTGGGCGAGCGAAACATCTTGTTTGAAGTGGATAATAGTAGTGTTGTGGATATGGTTCTCGGGGATAATGATAACTTTGGGCTGCATGAACCCATTATTCAGGCCATTCGTGATCTTCTCAAGCGAGAATGGAATGTACGTTTGTCACACATTTATAGGGAAGGAAATTTTTCGGCCGATAAGCTTGCATCGCTTGCGGCGAGTATTCCAGTGGGGCATCAGCGTCTCTTCTCCCCGCCACCGGATCTTGGACATTGGTTGAACTATTATGTCGCCGGAGTGGCTCGTCCACATCGAGTGCTAAGTTATTGATCGTTAGGCTTAAGCCTCCTTTATTGTACCAAAAAAAAAAAAAAAATGTGAATAATTTAGGTTAATATAATTGTCAAGTAAAAAATTCGAATATTTATCTTTTACACAAGTAGATTTCCTCTGTAAGCATATGCCCTATCTGAAAGTGTACTTCTAGAAAACCCATAACCGTTAATTACTTGTAACTGGACGTGAAGCAACAAAACTTAAAACTGAAACCCATAAAACATTGAAAAAGCATCACAAAAACAGTATATTCCAAAACAACAAACATAAAAAAGAACCATGCAAGAAATACAAAACCAAGACTCACTCACTCTCTCATACCATCATCATCATCATCATCAGCAACATTCTCATCACTCAAGTCGAGGTCCGCAAGCAGCTCGTCTAACGGCACACTCGGCAAATCCTCACCATCCGTCATTGATGCCATTTCCGACGGCTGATATTCCTTATTCCGGTACAGTGACAGGTTAAACCTCAAATCAGGATTCTCCTCCAAATCCCTCAAAAACTGCTCATACTCCGTATCCATCTTCTCGGCATTATCCCGAACACCCCTGGCACTATTATCAACTTCCATATTCAGTGATTTAAGCTTCCACGAACGAGCCTTGCCCTTCTTTCTCTGCCGTTTTTCCTCGTAGCTCTTTTTTATCAGCAAGACATCGGGAAGAACAAGACTTTTGTACTTATCCAACTCAATATCATTATTATTCGCTCCATACAAGTCGTAACCGAGAGCATAATCGCCCGGATTCAAGAGATGCCCCAAATGAGTCCTCACGTTGAAAATCGTATCGTTTTTGCCGAAATCCGACACTCGGGCCACCTGGGCATCGGCCAAAACATACTTCAAGCCACCAATATTGACCTCACCAGATACAGGCTCCACATCCAACACTATGTATTCGACGAGCTGCCTGCTCGAGAGCAAAGCCTTGAACGAAGACCTCCAGTACTGCTCGGCATCCAAGAAGCTCTGGCTGAGGGTAAAAGGGTCCAGTAAAGCTATGCTGTTGCTCACCTTGATGCATATCACGAGTGGTCCGAAATTTCCCAACCCGGCCGCAACCTTTGGTGGGAGGCAAATCAGGTCCTCCCGGCAAATGGGGCTGATCTCGACCGAGAAGGTGAACTTGTAATTATAATTATTGCTCTTAGAGTCGTGCGAAACTAGCTGCTTGTCACTGCGGCTCCTGACGGGGGCAACCTTGCCCACAAACTCGACAAACTTCAACCCATGGCTCCTTTTGTTAAAGAAAAAGTCAATCCCATGGTCCATCTGCTTGATCTTGATGGCGTTCCTTGCCGCATCGTGTTTCAGTATAAGTTGCTCGAGATAGAAAAAGGTCCGCCTGTGGGAGACATGCTGCCGGAGCTGGACTGCAGCCACCCACTGGTCAGGGTTGGCCTGAACCTTTGAGCAAGACTCGCACAGCTGGTCCTGCACAACATACTCGACTATGTAGGCCTGCTGAAGGAAAACATTCAGGACCTCCTTCTGCACAGTCAGCTTGACCTTGATCCTCTTGGAATGGGGCTCGGTCCAGACAAACTCGGAGTTAACCAATTTGACGGTGTTGCGGAGATTCTTGAGCCGGTTGAGGCAGAAAGTAAGGAGCTCTCTAGACTCGAGCTCGGCTTTGATCCACGTCCGGGGAGGCTGGAGATAGCTTTCGCAGTCTGGGCAGTGGTTGATGATAACGTGCTTCTGAAGCCCCTCCGTGATGTCGAACTCAGAACGTAGGCATTTGGCACACATGTTTGCTGCGTTGGGCTGCATGGGAATGCCACATTTGCAGCAGAGGACACTGCCAATTGTGTGTGGGACCCTGAACATGCCGTTGTCCTCGTCCATGTCTGAGAAATTTAAGAAATATGGTTAACGAGGAAGAAACAAAAAAAAAAGCGACAATTTAAATAGTGGCACACATAACCAAGATGCAAATGCGGGGTGGAAAAGCTGTTTAACATCTGATCAACTAATAAAGGTCTCCTGTAATTCATCCATATCATTCAATTCTTATTATTTGGATTTTGATTGAAAAAGCATATGAACAATTAAAACACGTGAGGCACGCACATATTGCAGATAAAAACACATAATTCAGTCAAAGTCAAATAAAAGCATATAAGTTCAAATATAATTCTAACTTCACTTCTTAACTTCTTAGGCTCGGAAAATTCTCACTTTAACTAACATCATGCAACACTTACAGAAGCCTCTTCTCATCTTCTTTTTCTCATTCTTCTTCCAAATTAAATACAAATAAAAGGGGCATCAACTACTGAAATCAAACTACTTTAGGACACACAATAACAGCATGTCACATAATAAGGCTAAAAAAATAAACCTCGGAGTACTTTCTTTTAAAGGGGAACAACCTTCCTCTAAAGGACCTTCTGATTATTTAAATTCTTATTTGTTGGATAATCTGAGGATTCGATAATTAGAATTTGGATTTCGAATTAGACAATAAATCAAAATTCAAGACAATCACAGCACAAACATTAACATAACAGCCTTTTTTACTTTTTTCTTTTCCCAACTATCAAGCAACACATATTGAGGCCATTAACTGGGGTGAAGTTCTGATATACCACATAATCAACATGCTTAGCACGTAACAAAGGCTCAGAATAAACCTAAAAACTCAACATAAATAAAAATCATGTCTCCATGTCCCTTCTTTTTGTTCTCAAAATTCTAACAACACATGCTAAGGTTTTAAAACCAAATTAAAGACCCTTAGGATACTTAATTTCAGCATATTAAACAACTCAATCATGCTCAACACATAAGACACTATAACAGCTCCACAAACATATAAACATGGCCAAAGTTCAACCCAACATGCCTCATTTCATCTCTTCTTTTATTCTCTTTTCTCCAAACTCCAAGGCACTTAAAGGCACATTAGAACTGAACTTAAACACCAACATAACACACCATTTAAGCTTATAAAACAGCACAATTAACAAATACAAGTTTCATCAAAGAGCCATCAAACAAAACACACAAAACAAGGATATAGCCTTCTTTTCTTCTTCATTCTTTTCCAAATCTCAAAGGACACATATAAGGCCATAAGAACTGATAATAAACCTCTGAAATTTAATGCACAATAACAACTTAAATCATCTAAAATAGGCTGCAGCAAGAATTCATAAAAACAAAGACCAAGCATCAGCACAAGGATGCCTTAAAACCATTTTCTTTTTTTCAAACATAAGCATACCTGCTAAGGCTTTTCGAATGGTGGTGAGCTCGTCGGCCAGAGGTTGCCGGAATAGTAACTCGCCAGATTTTCGAATGTGGAGCTTGAAGATAGATGTTTGGTGGTGTGGATCTTAAAATGGATATGGATAAGGGGCTAGGTGTGTAGGAGAAGTGTTTACGAAGATCTGCATCTTCGCGGCGTAGATGGCTGGCTAGGGTTTTGGGGTGAGGAGAAGTGTTCTATTTATACTAGAGAATGTGCTAGGCTTCTTGTCATCGGCTTTTCAAATCGGTCTAACATTAAATGGACTTAGCTCGATTATTTAATAGATCCGCTTAGGAGCGAATAAACAAGAGTAATTTGCAGGGTGATTTATTTTTTCAAAAAAAAAAATTAAAAAATAAGTGGACAAAAAAAAAAAAACGAAAAAAAAGAGTAGCTAAAAATAAAAATCACGTATTTACAAAATACAATTTTTAAAAATTTTGTTTGAGTTAAACGTATTTCTAAAAAATACGTTTTTAAATTAAATTTGTTTAATTATTTGGAAAATATATTGCCCGGAAATTGTATATACATTTTTAATTTAAAACCGTATTTAAGAAATACGTTTCTTTGAGAACCCCAAATCAATTTAAAACCCTAAAGCCCTAAATTACCTAATTCAATTTACTATAATTAAATTTGAGTAAAACGTATAAAGGAAATACATTTTACAAAACCCTAAATCAATTTAGGTTTTTTAAAACGTATTTTATTAGTACGTTTTTATCATAAAATAAACTATTATTAAAGAAAATTTTAAATTAAATTAAAACGTATAAGAGAAATATGTTTACTGAAAACCTAAATCAATTTATGTTTAAAAATGTATTCCAATAATGCGGTTTTAATATAATTAAAATTGAAACCGTATTTGAAAAATACATTTTTTTAGCAAAATATAAGTACGAAAAAATCGTCTCCTCCACCACTCTGCGCAAACAACAAACAGAGGTGCAAAAAAAAAAAAAAAAAA